AAAGAAAAAAAAAATAAATATATATATATATAATACTCAATATTTAGAAAGGTTGAAAGAGTGAGAGTAGGCCTAGGCCTATGCTAGGCATATATTGCCTCAGCCCCTAGTAGAAATAGCCCCCACCTCCATTCTTCAACGTCAAATTAAGGATAGACTATTTGGGCCCAAAATATTGGGCCTGGACCAAATATGACTTTAGGTTGACCCAGAATGAAGACCTTCAGTGCATACTACGATTTTGTATGACCAAGTCCAGCATAAGGTGGGATAACTGAATTCTAATCAACGCGAATTCTAATCAAAGTCTGGCTCCTAGGGAGTCAGGCTAGATTCAGTTGAGTTCTAAATCAAGTGAAATTGGTAAGGATCAAGATGAACATTGATAACATTCGTAATAATCTAAGAATTAATATTCATAGCTGATCAAGACCAATAATGGATTAAGTACAGAAAATGGACTAGGTTCAGAGTTCGAATACCAATAGGAGTGGCCGAGTCCAATCCAAAGATCAAGATGAATTGGTATTGGACCAAGGGATGTCGAAGGAGTGCAATCCATATAGGACTGTACTTCGACATAAGGTGGTCAGTACGAAAAACCACTTTTATAAATAAAAGAGGTTCTGCAACATTTGGGGGCCCTTCAACGCAATACACAAATCTTCCCTGCGCGATTTCTCGCACTACCCGAAACCCTCTCAAAACTTTCAGAAAAAACACTAACATTCTTATCTTCACTAACACACCTTCAGTTTGGATAAACAGTACTGTAGAGGAAACCGACTACACCTTCAATTTAGATAAATAGCATCAAAGCCATAGAGTTAAGCAATCAAGAATCACCTTTAGTTTGGATAAACAACACTGCTTTTGGTTTGGCTGACTATCTATCAAAGTCTCTGCCGACAAGTATTCTTTGAGCTATCCAAAGAAGGTCATCTTATTAGTCTCTCAATGAATGAGGTATTACCAAGTTACATTGTTTGACACATTGAAAGCCGAACCTATTTTATGATTGGATATCCACAAGTGCATTTTAGAGTTTAGCATTCTGACGGCTGAACCATATTTACAATCATGACACTTATCTCTTTTAAGTATTTGTATCCTTATAGTCTGATACCAATTCGGAGCACTTATATTTTCACGAATATAATTGAAGCGGCCAAACCAGGTGAAAACAATCCAGAGGATGTAGTCGCCCAGATACGAAAGTCAGCAGTGCGTTCGATACCACCATTACTCACCAACTGAGCTCAATCATCCACTTGGCACGCCCCGCATTCAACGGAAAGATTAGACAACCTGTGCGCCCTGTAGGCTAAGTAGTTTTTAGGGTCAACACAAACAAAAACCCATTCAAGCGCGTCAAACAACAAAACTTGGAAGGGGATGATGTTCATAGTGTCGAGGACATACCAGAAAAGTAGTTTCAATCATTAAAGTCATCTCTCTAAAAAGGAAGTGGACCAAATCATAACGGCGGCAATTACAAACCTCGGAATTACAAGACCGACTCTCATTCTAAACGTCTCCATTCTAGCAGAGTATAAGCTATTCGGGAACCTTCCGAGGTGCATATTGCTCTCTAGGATGAGACTTATACAAAGAAGGTGAAGGGGAAACCTTGAAGAGGAAAAAGAATGGACAAACTTCAAATGCAGTAATATGCATGTGTAGCACTAAGTTCTCTTGTTACAACTCCAAACATAAGTTGCCCATCACCGCAACATACCACAAAACTCTATGCAACAGTCCACAAATATTCCCGAGAAAATTGTACTATACTCCGGTGTATCCTATACGTTTGGACATTTGGCCAATAGATCTCGGTTATTGGATCCTTTAACGGCCCATTTACAACTATGATTCCAGAAAACACAAGTACCTTATCATACCAACTTGTTGGAGAAAAATCTGGCAAGTTCCATGTGACAATTAATTGCTTTCTACAAAGGAGAAATGAAGTAGGTAATAACTGGATTATATGTCCTCCGGTTTAGGGAGGTCTTTTATAAACACCTACAAGAGAAACTCATAGAGCTGCATCTCATTACTAGATTATTCTCTAAATGTATCATCTTTCTGTTATACATTGTGTTTTATGGTGAGATTGTTCGTACCCTTTCCCTTGCTGGCCTAAATTAGATTAGTAGATAATCTCCCCTCTTTTATTTCCTCCCCTTCCTTCCCCTCCTATTTGAACGATCACGGTTAAACCACGTCAAGATCTTATATTAATTTTTTATAGAAAGAGAAAGACAAAATAGAGAGTGTGAGAGAAGGGGAGGGAAGGGGATGGAAGGAGGAGAGGAGAGAATCTTAGTCCTTAAATAAAAGCACTTCCCACATTTCGAGCAATCTACATGTCTCCTCATTTCAATGATTTCGTGCCGTCTATTATGGCAATTCGTTTCCCAACGTACTTTGTTATGACCACCTAGCTCGGATTTTCTTGTTTGCTCTTTCACATAAATTCCCAGTGTGAGGCTGTTAGCAGTTAATTTGAGGTACCCGCAATCGATATACTTTACCCTAACGATGTTAGAAAATTACCTATTGTTATTGAGAATTATATGTCCCTAGAGCTATGCAAAGAGAGAGAAAACTGCAATTTCCTTGACTAAGAAGTAAGAAATAGGAAGAAAAATTGCTCATCACCCCTTTGGCAAAGAGTATGGAACTTTTAACCATCTCCTTTCAAGCATAGCATAAGCTTACCGGGAAGCCTTCTTGGTTCCATAACCGCTCGACATAATGAGACTGCATACAAACACAGTGAAGGAGTAACTCATGCATTTGTAAATAGAGTGCTAAGCTCCCTAACATCGACGTTTCTGTTCTTATTCCAGATTACGGTGACGGTGGTTAGAACTCAAAACATAACTTGCCTCTCGCCACCCCATGATAACGCAAAAACTCTTAATACTAGAACTTCCATTAAACTCATACTACGATTCTCCATAATCCATTAGTAATTCAAAACCAGTGGGTAACATATATCTTATCAGAGTAATCTACAACTCTCATTAGAGAAACCACAAGAAGATAGCTTAATATCCAGAACATTAATATAAAGAACCGCGTTGGGAGGCTCTACACCTTATTGAAGCAGAACAATTTTGCAGGGGTCATGCTAAACCTTCATCTATGCTAGTAGCAAACGCTAAAATCATTGAAAGAAAAAACATGAACTACTTCATATAGCATCTCATTCCATGACTAGATTGTTTCACCTTCTTCAATCCATCCACATTACATATGTTCATATTCTTGAAATGTATCAGCGCCTTTTCTTGTATATTACCTATGGTTATTTACCAATCTTGTTTGAGGTACTGACCTGCTTCCTAAACGATGCTTTCATGTTACCTAATTTATTCTTGAGAATTATATGTGCAAGAGCTTTGTAGAAGGAAATACCAGTAAGAACTGTAATTTCCTTGACAGAGGCCGTTTCAGAAACCCCTTAATGCCTAAGAATTCTCAAACTAAGGAGCAAAAAGCAGTGGATTGTCACCCTAGCAAGCAAACCAGGAAGCAGTTCAAATTAGGGTTGGGCATGGGCTGAGCCAAGCCCAATTTTAAAGGAACCGGACCTTACCGTTTTAAACAGTAACATGCGGGCCGGTCAGAGTAGATAGATTTTGAGTTTTGAAACCGGACCTAACCTTTTTTTTTTTTTTTTTTATTTATAAACTGCAATGCTCCCGTGCAGCAACACTGGAATGAAATTAGTAAACTTAACGGGCCAATGTCCCTGGCCATTGAACTAGCGGTTCTTTGCCTGAGCAGTTCGACCAACACCGCGACAAAAGCGGCAGAAGGGAATGGCTTGCTTGTGGGCTAAAACACCTTCCAAGTACCTTTTAGCCTTTGCCAAATGCATCTTCCTGATGGAATGGGCAGTCTAAAACAAATAAACAAATCCAAATTATAACAATCGAATCGAACCAGTCCAAGCATAACACAAGCAATCCAAGATAAACATATTTGAAAATTACAGGAGTTGTTTTTTACGTCCGGGGTGCCCCCTGCGTGACTAGGAGCGTTCCCGACCACTTCACGCTCCGCCACCTCCGACGCAAGATTAAGGTATAGCTTGAAATCAATAGGACCCGGGTTCCGGTGTCGGACTCAGCCTCGCTCATGCTCCGCTGCGATCGGGACAATAAGGAGTTGTCGGAGGTGATGTACGTCAGTATCGATAGCGTGAGGGTCACCGGTGGGGTTGAATTCGAGGTGTACGAGAACAATGATATGGTTATGCGTGGGTCTCTAGAGTGGTGGAGGGTGTTTGGATCAATGGAAATGTGAGGGGATTGGAGAACGATTCGAGAAGGGGTGGAGTTAGGAGGAGAGATCGAAGTCTGAGACTCTTGAGTGAAATGAGAGGAGTTGGGAGGAGAGATGAGAAGACATGTCTCAGACTTCGGTTCAATTCTATTCCATGCTAGAAACAGGCCAGGCCGGGGGCCCGTTCCCTCTTATTTTAAGATCCAGTCCACCCCGCTAATTTAGTATGCCCGAACCGCCGCGCCCCGTTTTGTGTTTAGAAATTTTGGACCTGCCCCGAACCTGAATTTACCACCCCTATTCGTGGTTCCAGTACCCGTTTGCCCATCCCTAGTTCAAATATTTTCGTCTTCTCTTAGTGAATATCCTAATTTTTTCACCCACAGAATTCTGCAAAAGCTAGCCAATAAGTTCAAAAAACTCCCTTATAGAAGAGACGTAGAACCAAGATGAACACCAATTCTTTGTCCCTATTGGGAAAGAAGAAAAAAGAACGAAAAAAGTTTCATGACCATGCTATAATGGTGAAAACCAAACCAAAAATAAACATGTTTCGTAAATCTCATCTGAATGCAAATAGCTGCCTTATTGATTTAGCTAGGAAATGCACTGATTGTCGCGCATACTTGTTATCCTAATCCATCATGCATCTTTTGGTGATTCAAAAGCAACATACTCATCGACTTAACAACACGAAACAGAAAGTTAGGAACCGACGTGTATTAAGAAGTCACTTCGTGCTACATTATTTAAGCAGGAACCAGATAACACATTGGTCCTCTAAGGGTTCACAACTTGGAAGGATAAACTATATTATGATAAACACTACACAACTAACTAAAGTAGGAAATGGATATTGAAACTTTCACAAGGAACAGAGTTGATCAGACCGTTTGTTTGCGCTCGAATCCAGTGCCAGGGTCCTCAGTGCTAGGAAAAACCTCTAGCCCTGTGACAACAGCAGATGGAGGGCCACGGCGACACCTCTGCTCCATCTCTTTAACCGCATCAGGGTTCCCAGAAAGCAGTGTCTCCACAGACCCATCTCTCCGGTTCCGAACCCAACCTTTCAAGCCTAATTCGGTTGCATTCCCCACAGTCCAGTCCCTGTAAAACACACCCTGCACTCTCCCCTTTATCACCAACCTCACCTGCACACTCAAAACCCAAAACCCAAAACCCAAATTCCAAATTCCAAATCCCATAACGAAATAAAGAAAAAATTCATTGAGAAATGTAAATAAAGAAGAGCAATTTGAATTATGAAATGCAAAAGGATCAAATTTACATCGATATCGATAGATTATAAGATCCCATTGCTTTAAACTGATCAAACAAATGCTAACAACGATTAAAATCTAACATGGATCACTATAAATTAAGAGGCAATCATAACTGTAAACTGATGAACAAAATGCTAAAGATTTGAATTTTACATCGAGAGAAGTAAATTAACAGACACCCATTAATGTAAACTGATCCAAGAGCGAAGACGTACCGTTTTGGCGGAGGAGGACGACTGGGAGGAATCAGAGGCGGCGGCCTGGGGAGTGGTCATGAGGGGCAGAGAATGTCGAAGAGGAGGTGGACAAGGTCCGAGCAGAGAAGAAAGAGGAAGGCGAGGAAGAAGAGGAGGAAGGCAAAGCGAATGAGGAGGACGAAGAGTAAGAGGGTGAGAATTATGGAGATTGGGGACGACGAATCTAAGAGCAGGAACAGAAGCATTGGCTGAGTTATTGATTTGATTCCATTTATGTGGTGGATGTTTGTGGCTCCGAGAGGTGAGGAATCTCAGTAGCCTCCCTGCGGTTGCTGATGCCATTCAATTTTCTTTGTATTTATGATGTCAACGCCTACACAATGTTTCTTCACTCTTCAGGAGGTTTCTGAATAATTCCCGTCCATTTTTGCTACAAGTAGAGATGATGGGCCTATGAAGTTTGATGTCGTGGAACTCAAAGGCCCAATCCTAAGGTTCGAATTCAATGCAAAGTTTGTTGCTTCAGGCCCAGTTTACTTTCTCTAACTGTATTTTGCAATTTCTAAGGTGTGGACAGAGCTTTGCGGATGGTGCATGCGGATGGAATGTGGACCGTGGAATTAAATTTGAATGGCTAAAAAATGAATCAATCAGAAAGGACTTAGTGTGAAACAAAGTTAAAAAAGACCTGAATTCAAAAAATTATAAGTGTGGACATGGGGTGATGATGCTTATTTCGTGATGCTGGAAACCCTGACTTTGGATGCAAATGATGTCGGCTAGCTTAAAGCACAAATTAAGGAGTTGAAGGTGGCAGTGGGGCGTTTGTCCTATAAGAAGGATATTTTTCAGAGAAATGTGTCGAAGAAGGTGGAAAAATTGACGGAGGAGGTGAAGGCATGTAGGAGGGAAGTGAAGGGAAAAGAGAAAGAAGAAGATAAAGAAGAAGAAAAAGAAGAAGAAGAAGAAGAAGAAGAAGAAGAAGAAGAGGAAGTTAAGGAGTAGGAAGAAGAAAAAGAAGATAAGTAAGAGCAAGAAAAATAAGAAGAAAAACAAAAAGAAGAAGATGTAGATGATGATGATGAAGAGGGGAAAAAAGTAGGTAAAGAATGAGTAAAAGAAGAAGAAGATGGCAGTCAAAGCTGTGGTGCTGTACGAAATGGTGTCCTTGAAAGAAAAGAAGAATTAGAAGGTGGTCAAAACGGGGGTGAAGAAGGTGAAGTGGGGGAAGCTGAGGGATCAAGAAAGAAGAAGGTTATGGTAGGTATGAAGGAAGTGGGTTTTTAAGGGGCTGTTAATTTGGAATGTCTTGGACATGTGTGCAAAAATATACTTGCACTGGTCGGAGAAAGGATAACGCACGACCACGTAGAAGTCCAAAGTTTTGATGATGATGTTGTTATTTACACACCCAAGGGTAAGCAAGTTGGAACGAAGAGGAAAGTCTGGTACATTAGGGTGGCGGCAAAGATTAGGGCACCAAAGGGGGGCAAATAAGAAGATAAAAATGGTGCGTCACACGGAATTGACATTTGACGTGACAAAGTGTGAATAATTCCAAGACGGTAAGCCAAAGGAGCATGTTCTACAAAGGGGAGTGGCGTTTAAAGTAATCGACTCAGCTTACGTGGTCGAGGTGCTTCAGTATTTATATCAATTTCATAGATTAAAGAATGCCGGTAACAAGTATTGATCATTGTGTTTTGCTTATGGTACTTTAGAATTTATATGCAATAAATGACTAGAATGATGACAGTAAATCTTTTTTGTTTTGTTACATTGTTAGTCTAGTTGGAGAATATGACTGTTGGAAACACATACTTTATCCTTGACAAGGAAAGGTGGCTGTCAACCGATGTAAGTTCGTAAAACCTATTGTTGATGTAGTGTTTCCACACTATTGGGATTGTATTGGTGTGAAAGTTTAATTACAAAATTTGTATTGTAGCATATTCATTTGCAGCTGTATCTCCTACGAAAGCATGTCCAAGAGGTTCGAATAGTTAGGATAATGTTGAGCATCGACACAAACGATTGGTTTCTGGTAAAATATCCAACATAATATGTGCTACTTATGTAAATATGTGCAATTGTTATGTTAAGTGTGATTTTGGGCAGTAGAATTGGTGTACATGCCTTTTACTTTATACTTTGATGGTGTACAAACCTACTGTGAGCATGACTACACTCAAATGAGAACTCAAAAAGTAACTAGAGGGCATAAACCCGAAATGTCCACTCCATTCTTACCTGTCATTTTGAAATGGTGAAGGGGGAGGAGGAGCCATTTTCTACATCTTGGTTGGTCGATGTTGAGAAGGTGTACATGCCCCTCAACCTTGATAACCATTAGGTTGCTATGGAGATGAACTTGAAAGCTTCGAGAATCATAGTGTATGCCTCCTTGAGATTAACAATGCACTTCTGGAAAGTGACAACAAAATTGGCTCCAATCTTCTATGTGTTGCTCGATGTCCTACAAAGCATGTTAATGGAGGTGAAGGAGGAACCTTGGCCCATCATTGTAAGCCAAAGGGCTCCACAGCAAGATAACAAGTTAGTTAAAAATTTATTGAATTGTTAGTTAAGTTAAATGATTGAATTGTGTGTGAATCGTGTCTAAAACTTGTTGGTGGCACAAGGGGGACTGTGGGGTGTTCACTTTAAAAGTCATAAAGTTCTTATCTGGGGGCATTCCCCTCATTCTTATTAAGTCGCAAAACATCCTTGCATTCCGATTAAGGATGGTAGTCGACATACTGCATGTGGTGCACAATGTGTAGGCGGCTTTCAATTATTCAATGGTTGTCGATGTAATCTTGTAGACTTGTAGTCGATAAAACAAGGATTATTTTGTAGATTATATGGTGGTGTATATATTTTTACTTTGTTAACATAGGTTTCATTGCTTGGGCCGAATATAATATCTCACTCCTGGTTATTTGTTGTTATGGATCAGTTAAATGGAATTAATTTGAACCATAGTGTTTCAAACCACCCCTTATGTGTTGTGAATACTTTATTACAAGATATGAATGTTTGTGATCAATTTTCTCTAAGAGCTTTGGAGTACTATGAAACCCACTTCAACAAATAAGTTAGACAGTGAACTAGAATCGGACAAAGGAATTAGAAAGTAAACTTTAATAATTTGGACAATTTTTTACTTGGTGTGGAAGAATGTATTGGGGTTGAGAATGCTTTCATTATCTCCTTCCAAATGATTTGTTGTTAGGGATAAGTGAAGTTTAATAATTTGAAAGAGAATTTTTGAACAGCGTTCATGCTTTATGAATACTTGTGACAATACATGATTTGATACTTATTTCTTATGAAAGTGTGTGATGGAGTACTAGGAAAGGGTCATGCACAAATGGTAGATGATAGTGAAACTGAAAGTGACGAAATAAATTGTACAGTGCAATGCGATGTTTCCATCCCAACCAACACACTAAAAATAACCTTCGTAAACGCAAACATTTCAAACTTAAAACCAACTTAATTGGTTAAACACAAACATAAATTAATACATACTAAAATGAAGTGTACTAGTCCAACTGCCTGAACATTAATACATAGAAAAATGTCCAACATAAAAGACAAACTAAAACATTAATTAAAACATGCTAAAATTAAATCTAAACTGCTTAAATCCACTTGGCCACTTTATCACGTCATCCAGCGTCATCCATTATTTGCACCAATGCCATCACTAGCACTTGGACCTTTAACCTCACCTTTACCCTCACTATCATTTTCACTGTCACCTTCATGCTCTCTTCTTCTTTTTCTCGAAGCCCAACTAATAGTCCTCTCGGAGTCGTCTGCACCCATCCTGAAGTGTGCACCATCGATGACAGCCCTTGGTGGTTGACCGAAGTAAACGATGAGATTATTATCAAGGTTGCATAAAGTAGGTTCAGATCGTCGAAATCCTCTGACAACATGTTTGGCTCGTCACCGAACACCTTGTTCATCATAAATCAACTGGCATTTAACGCATTGACATTGCATTCGCATTACTGTTCTCCTCCCACAGTAGGAGCAAACCTTAAACAAACCGTCATAACTGAGGAAGGTTGGCAGCTCTTTGTCTCCATTCACGATAAAAACTCGTTTTAACGGCAGACGAACATCCACTTCCATTAACACCCTTATGGCCATTCCATTAAGGGACTTAATACAGGGGTCACGAAGCTTAAGAAGGTCGCCGATGGGTTTAGTGATAGTCGTCAACATGTTCAACTCTCTTTCAAGATGTTCAACTCGCTATATAGCATTACTATTCGAGGGATTTTAACCTATACCCTCAAGTAAGATATAGAGTCTGATTCCCTAAAGTCTGTCATCCACTTTGTAAGTGGAAGGTTTAGCCCATCACAAACCATGGATGTCCCTCCACGACGTTTTCTAGTTCATTCTCATTGGTTAACTCCAATGCAAACCAACTCCAACCGAAATGGTAGACAAAGAAGGGATTTTTAGCAACTTCACCAAACAGCAAAGTTAGTTCGGTGTATGACCTCGGTGCTCTCGGGTTTCCCAATCTCCCCATCAAAACCTACCACTTCATATGCTCGATGTTTGTGGTGGAGATGACGTTGATGTCAACCATTATAAAGCCTCTTTCAACTTTGAACGCGTAGTTGTCATTGCAAATGATAACTGGGCCTTCTGCCGGGTTAGGAAGTAGGAATGGGTTTGCCCATAAAGGAAGTTGGGGCATGAAGATTGATCGTCGTGGATAGGAAGAAGTTGTAGTGAAAGCCAAGTATAATGCCATTGCTGAAGCCAAACAGTAATATGTAGTTTGCAGGTTGTGTTTTCAATAATGTTAGAGGAGTATTTGAGTTATATGAAGACAGATAAATGTGACGACCAATAAATATAGGGTTATAATGACCTTTGAAAGAATGCGAAAGGTCTGTATGCCAAAAAATGGCAATCATGGCAGTTATTCCCATTCCCAACATGCGTGTTTTTTACGACGGCTTGCGAAATGTTATGACTGGAAAATCATAAACCATTGTGTGTGGGCCTATCATTGTGTTTGTTAAGAAACCCAACAGTCTACGAAAAAAGACTTATTTCCATTGCTAACCGTGAGATTGACCATGTGGGTGGCTACGATTCGCCCCCACATATTACCATACAATCTCACACACTCTGTCCCTCTACCATAATGTGGGACATTGATACAGACGTGGCCCCTTCAAGGTTTTCCACTTGGACTAAAATGTGTACTATTTTTAATGAAAATTAATAATAAAAAAATTCCCAAATGGGGAAAATGAGAAAATATTACAGATACGCATGGGTTGTCATCGTGGAAGATATGAGGT